GCTGGCCTCTTCCATCCGCTGCAGCGTCTCCAGCTGCTTGCGGAACACGGCATTGCGCTGCTCCAGGACTCGTGCCCTGTTGATGTACCGGGCAAAGCGGCTATTGAGCTCCTGAAGGCTCTCCCAGCCCTGGATGGCCGAGATGCCGGCAGAGGATTCGAAGTCCACAGGTTCCTCATCAAAGACATCTGAACGCTCATACTTTTCCTTGCGCACCTCGTGCAGGTAGCTGGTCTTGTACATGGTGGTATGCTTCCCTCCCGTGGGTCGGTGGTCTCCCCGGAGTGCTCGGTCCCCTTCCGCACCTTTATTGTGTGAAAACTCGGGTGCTCACCCTTGGCTGTCTCATGCTAGACTAAACGCTCCACAGCACTGACTGTTGGCGAAATAGCCCCCAAAACCTCCCGCTAGCTGTGGCCACGCACGTTACGAGCCTGGTGCCTTCCACAGTTTATTGTTGCCTTTGTGGCAGAGATTAGAAAAGCCATGCTGTTGATGACAAAGCAGAACCACAAAAACAAACAATTGTCTGGCCCGCGAAAGCACTGGGTGGTCACACACCATTATTTTGCTTCTTAGTCAGCTGCTTTCTAGATCCCCGTTTAATAATATGGCAGATTGGATGGTGGCCGACCACAGGACAGAGGGGAAAATTCGTGCAATGCAATTTGTGTGGACTGTGGAGAACGGTTCCTGCCAGAAGTAGCTAAGTGTTGACACACTGAGTGTGCTGAAAACAAAAACGGTTGTTTTTCAGTGGGTACTGATCAAGTTTGGGTTCATGATCTCAAAAACACCGTAAATAGACCCTAAATTACAGAAATGTATATGCAGGCAGTATGCAGGCGGTCATACAATTCAATGAGGGTTTAATGGTTGTTTTTCATACAAGTTCCATCTATAAAATACTAAAACCGGTAGCAAACAACATCAAATCTTGCTTAGCCAATTAGGATGGGATCCTAAATATGTTACAAAAGTTTCAATCTTTCTACACATTATGTTTTAAGAGAAACGATCAAAGAGAAGAGCCTATATTCAAATGTATGTGGCAACGTTTGTGTTTTGCTGGGCTTTGGAGCTGTTGTATCTCAACACTTTATTTTTTAATAACAAGAAAGATATCTTCTAGTTGTAATCCTCAAGGTGCTTTTAGCCCACATGTCTGTATTTTTCATTACCCTTTTGTATTTCCATTATTTCCCTTACAATAACATTTAGCAGAGATGAGAGTAGGAGATAGTGATAGAAAAGGGAGGAAGAGACAGAGGAGCTTTTGCTTTCGCTCTCTGCAGGTTGTGGTACAAGGTCAGTCAAAATGTCCCTCTCGACAGATCTAGCAGGCTGTAAAACGGCTGAATGAAACACATGTCAAATGGCTATACATCAGCATTTCAGCATATTTTGGCCCGAGCAAAGCCCACGGCTTAAGGGCTATAAAAGCTGCAGTGTGAAAAATAAGATACTAACAAAATGTCACGGACATAACAGAGTTAAAATAATGTTAGTTAATTTCTCATTCAGACACTATAGACGTACCCTTTTCTTTCACACTCACAGTTATTTGATCAAATAAATATAACCAGAGTTCATGTGATGACCTTTACCTACTCCTACCTGCTGTATTTTACCTACAGTAGTATACAAAAATAAGTTGATATAGGTCAAATAAAAGTGTAAAAAAAAGTCTTTGAAATCGCAATCGACAGACACACTCAAACATGAAAAGCAATATCCTCCTCCTACCTATTTCCTTTCAAAGTTACAATTACAGAGAATGTCTCATATATTTCACACCTATTCTACTCAAAAATAACTTTACAAATTACATTCTTTAGATGCATACTGTCAGTATAAACATTGTTTGTATATATACAAACAATGTTGTATATGTACAAACAATGAGCACACTGAGATATTGTTCATCCAAATGTACAAGTATAAAGTTGCTGCGTATTGTATGACATACACAGGTGGTGTCAAAGTGCTTTACACTACATGCCATAAACTGATGGCAGAGCCTGCCATACATGGTGCCAAACTGCTCATCAGGATCTAATCCAATGCTCATTCACACAGACAAAACTACATGGCACAGCCTTCGCGAGCAATTTGGGGTTTAGTATGTTGCCCATGGACACTTGCAACATATAGACTGGAGGAACCGGGGATCCTCAGCAGACCCAACATTTTGCCAAAACAGACTGCCTCTGTTCAGATTTAAACCCCTATATTTGTATGGATTTTCACTGCTGCTTATCCCTCATAACATTGTCACCAATAAACTATGTCACTATGTGTCTATCCTCAACTGAAGGCCATAGATTATAGGTCTTGTGCATATTCTCCATGGCTGAGGAGAGAACGCCAAAATCACAAGGCGGTCATTTCCCATTTATATTCATTGGTTACAAGTGGCAGTAAATCCGAGGCCCGGTTGAGATTAGAGAGCTGTCCAGAATTGGAAATGAGAGCCTAGTGTTTATCCTGCTGGTCAGGCCTCCGGGGCTACTGTGACAGACACTAGCAAGGCCAAGCATGTAGCCCCTAATATTTAGAGGGTGATAAAAACGAATAGGCACTCCTCTCATCTCTTATGAGTTGTTCAAATTCTAGAAATTAAAAAAATTGTTTTTATCATCCTTTGTCCATTGTAGATGACAGAAGGAAGTTGTCTGCTGGTTCACTCATGTCTATTGTTATCTGTAATGATGTTTAAACTGCGCCGGTTATATCTGCCAACCCGCTGCACTCAATGTGAGAGGACACACAAAACCAATCTCGCCCTCCACTGACAGATGATTGTCAGAGGCGGTACAAAACCCAACAGTGCTAGCTTTCCATCACAATAAGGAATTGATCTGAAAAGTCATCAGGGCTGCTGTCTGCGCCTGTTCATCTGCTGTTCAGGATGGTTAACCTCAGAGATTTGGTGGTGACAGCATTCTGCTCTGTGAGAGAGGGGGAAAAAGTGTTGTATTCAAGGAACAATGCAGTTTATCATCAAACCACTAAACCTAATGGAAGTCGGATTAAAAAGAAAGGATAAGATGTAGCGCCTTTTTTCACAGCAGACGATGAGCTCATGATTACTATTCCAACAGCCACTATGCCATCAGTGTCAGTAGCAGCCATGGGTGTGAACATCAAACATGATGTTTTTTCCATCTCAGGCCGTCAGAGACTGAGAGCACTTACCCCCACATGAGACCCTTTACACTTACATGACACTTTAATATTGTGCATTGTACTATCTGCACTACATGAAAACTATAAACACTTAACTGAAGGCAAAGCCACCACCCAGGACTCTCTTATACTGTCATACAATCATTTCAGATATTCAGCCACTTACAGTGCTGGAACATTAAAGGTGCAAAGCTAGAATATTTTTTTTTTTTGTGTCTATTATCTGCCATGCTGAAGAATTTTTACCCATGTCCTGGTAGGATTGCAAAGCAGAGTTGTATGACTCTTGGAACTCAGTCAAGCAACGTTTATTTCTGTTCCATATAATAGTCCTTACAACTACCAAGCATGGCCAGACAAGACATTGTGGGATTTGAGACGACGCTGGACTGACTAGAAGAAAAGGTATATGAAAAAAGAAACTCGTAACTGCTACCAGGCACAATGTCATGAAAGTCGTTGGAGAAAGTGCAGGTTGCTTATTTATACACATTAGCTAAGGAGATAGCAATTCCCTAGCTTGCAAGCGTTTACTCGGCCACAGCAACGTGACCTCCAAGGTTTCGCCGTCATAATGGAATGCCATTGAATGTGTGTCTTGGGGGTCAACATGTATATCTGGTCAACTTTAAATTTGGATGAACTTTGAAAACCACCGCCCAGGAGAGCACAGCCCCTGTCTCCATTAGAAATGATAGCCTTGTCCCAAGCAATGTCGCCCATCAGCCAGCTCTGACAAACCTACTCTATGCTACCGGACAGACAGACAGACACAGTAAGCGACAAGCTGGTGAACACAGTGGAGCATTTAGCAGCCAAAGAGCCAGATGCTTCCCTCAGGAGTTACAGACCACAACAACAGCTACTAGAAGAGTTACTGTCTCCAACAAGGAGCAATGGTGCGGGAAGTGTGGGTCCTGAGGGTGTTACAGCACTCACTGCTTTTTCTTTAGGCCTGCTGTTTAACTGCATTTAAAAAAAAATTGTAATAATAATAATTTAAAATTATATATATATAATACATGTTTTTTTACACCGGGATACTTTGGGTTCAGCAGAAAGGGTGGAGATTTTATTTTCATGTTTGATTTGCATATTTTCAAAATGTTAATAATGAATAATATTGATATAAACCAATCATATTTGTCTTTGCCAGTTGCGATGACGCACCCACAGAGGGACGCGTTTTCCTTTATACAGGCAACACACACGAATGAAGCTACAAGTGCATCATAAAGTATGATTGTAACTTTGTATAATCCCCAGTTCATCAGTGATGTAAATATATGAACTAGGCTACACAGCAGACTGGAGTCTCAAGAGGAGCAGATCAAGAGGAAGTCAATGGGTCAGTTGTGCTTAAATACTTTTTGCAGAGGAAATGAGATATGTTCGGGGCGTGGTCTTATAAAGCTTGATTTTGTTGTTTCTTGAGACTGTATTTCTTACATACGTTCATTCTATTGCCTTGGCTTTTATTTTGACATACCCATGCTTCCGGGTTACCTGTCTTGCTTTGCGTCTCTCTTCAAAAAAAGAAATAAAAAAGAGGGATTTACGAAAAACAAAATCAGCTGGTTATTTGAGTTTCAAAACGTACACGGACAAATTACATTTTACATTTGAAGCGGAAGAGTAACAGACGTAACTTTGTACCCCTCCTTCTTTGGAGGCGCTCTGCAGAGAGCGGAGCGGACTGGCAGCAGAAAGGATTGATGTGCGTGGAGGCTGATGGAGCGACCCTCTTGACTGCGCTCCGGCTTGGTTTCACACCTGCCACACAGCGAGCTGTTACGCTCTTTTTAACTATTGTCCTGAGAAAAGTCGCGGGACCTTCTGCAACGGTTGCTGGTAAGTGTCTTTTAACATGCTTTAATTAAACGACTTTTATTCCTGGAAACTTCGAGATTATTATTTCTTATTATAAATAAAGAGATAGAGTCTTTCTCTCATATAAGTCTACATTTAAGTGTGCGTTTCTTTTGCTGTATTGATTTAAATTCACAGACTGTGATGATCTCTTAACAGCATATGCTCCTAATTGAGACCTTCTGTTACTTCGTAGAGCCAAGTTTGGATTTATAAACTACCCCAGAGCCTTAATTCAAAGTACATTTTCCTTCTAGCTCTGCATATATTGATACAGTTGATGCTATTTTTGCATGTAATTTTATTTAAAAAAAATATGATTACTGATCTCCGTATGCAATTACCTATCTCATTAATTTCAATGAAGTACTGACTTAGTGGAGATCACATAAATCATGATTGTAAAACCAAATTATTTTGGATCATGGGTCAAATCTTTTGAGAACATCATCATCTCTCTGTCTGCCTCTCTTATATTAGGAGTGCGCACTTAATTGCCCTGTTCTACTGTCTTAATACAAATCTGGTAGAATCTAGTTAAATGTGTTGTTTTTTCTTCTAATTCATTTGGAATTATATTTTTGCTTTACCTCATTTGCTTGCGGAGGGATTTTTCTGACCACTTCTTGCAAACCTAATGCCCGCTGAGCCTAGTCTGTGATGTCAGCTTGCTGTAAAGTGGCAAGGTCATAATGAATGACATAGACGTCTTTGCTCCACCACACCGACTTACATTGTTCGTCCAAAGATAGAGAAATGTCACACATGCCAGCATAATTACGCCTGAAGCACTGAGATTATGTTATTTGTTTTGATCATATCTTGTCTCCATGGATCCTCACCCTGCATGAGTAATACTGAGATGGGAATTCTCTTTTCCAGGTGAAGATGTGCTGCTATTTCCAAGGAAGAAGCCTGTTCAAATTTCCATCTGCATACAAACAACTTATTTAATAGTTACGCTGGTTTCAAGGATTCATTGGCATCATGTACCAAAAAGTATCAATTTTCATCTAATTTGTTGAATCAAATTGCAGTCAAATACAAGTCTTTCTAAACCAAAATAAGAGCGTGTGCTAAGACATGGGGGACTCCAACATCAGCCACATGGTAGCTTATACAGAGGCGCAGGAGAGTCTCCCAGCAGGCAAGTTGGATCATTACATGGACAGCTATGATATGGACTATGGTATCCCTCCTGATGAGATTCCAGACACGACGCAGGGTCAGGCCTTCTTTGTGGCCACCATTGTTATCGGCATGGTGCTTGTCTGCATCATGCTTGTCTGTGGGTTTGGAAACTTCATATTCATTGCCACACTGATGCGCTACAAAAAGCTCCGCAACCTCACAAACCTGCTCATCGCCAACCTGGCCATCTCAGACTTTGTTGTGGCAGTGGTGTGCTGCCCGTTCCTGGTGGACTACTATGTGGTGAAACAGCTTTCCTGGTCTCACGGATTAGTGATGTGTGCCTCCGTCAACTATCTCCGCACAGTCTCACTCTATGTGTCCACAAACGCATTGCTTGCCATTGCAGTTGACAGGTGAGTGTGTTATTTCTTTCATACCTCTGTGGGTTTATTGGTTCAATCGAGCAAGCCAATGCTTGATCCTTCCAGCATAGTCTATGGAGACTTCAATTGATAAAGCTTTCATGTTTTTATCCTGCAATATTTTTTTCTCTCCACAGAGAGCCCAACAAAAAACATATAAATCCGGTTTTTGGTCATCATTGTTGAGATAAAATTACATTTCATTTTCTTGCCATATCCTGAGAGATTTTGAGAGACACAGATGCTTCTCCATCAGATCCAGTTAACTGATTTTAGGTTTAAAGCACACAACACATGTTACCAGTCTTGCTCTTTTCAATAAAAATGACTGTATTGTAAAGTTAATATTACTACCAAGTTGTGGCAAACTATACTACAAGTTTATTTGCAGTGGTTATACTCCCTAGTGGTTCATAGCTCCCTGTTACATTTAAACTGAAGAACATACAGCATGCTTACTTTTATAATAATGCAATCCTATTCATGGCACAAACTATGTTAGTTTCCCCCCTGCTACTCTGCTGATTATATGCAACAGGTAGATATCCTCTGTATATCTTCATCCATCTCCGTCAGGTACTTTATCTTTTTAGTCCCCCTGCACAGCCTGAAATATACTTGACAAACAAATGTGTCAAACATCAGATTCCAAAACAACCCATATTGGCATTTCTCCTACTTTTTAAGTACGGTCATATTAATTGTAAACTTAAAGTATTTGGTAAAGGTTGTGGAAAGATCACCTTGTACTCACTGTACTGTCACGGCTTAATGCACACGTGAAGACAGAGCTCTCAGAAAAGTCTGCTGTGGAAAAAATATGCCTATGTTCATATAAATTGATAAGGCCTTAAGTGCCTTTCACATGTTGCATTTAAAAAAGCTTAGAAAACGACAATCGTGCCGCTTTCATATTTTTTATCCAAGATGCTTGGGGGGGTTGCGCTACAGTCGCGCCTACTGCTACTAAGCTACCAAAACCTGCGTGCTGCGATGACGATGATGATGAAGTTGCAGTAATTTAGCCTCACTGACTAAACTAAACCTTCAAGTCAAAACAAAGATAAATGGATTTCCAGCATCGCAAATTCCTCAAAGTAGCTTTACCTCTTGATTTGTCATCTTCAATTTGGCTGACCTTTCAACCAGATGTTGTGACATCCTTGGTCGCCATGGGTGAAGAAAATCAAATCAAAATCAAAATTCATTTGTATAGCACATTTTGAAATACAACAAAGGTTGCCCAAAGTGCTACACATACAAGAAAGTAAAATAGTCTGTGGAAACTGGAGCAGATGGTAAAGCTCTGGGTAGTCCTTCACTAAATTGATTGACTTCCTCTTCATATATTTACCGTACGTATTTAAGGAAAACAGAATAGATCTGCCAGCTGTAATTGGTTGTTCCTCGTCACGTGATACGCGGTGCGTGCTTCAGCGTTCTAAAATTCAATTACTATCTCGGGGCCAAGCCATCACACCCTGAAAAATAGGCGCTTGGGGAAGCTAGCCATTGATCTTTTGAGCGCGCCTTCCGTGCTTCTACATTGACAACAATGGATTTGAGGGTGCAAAAAACTTGAGGTGTGGACGGCCCCTTAGGGGATCATCATATGTAAACATAGCACTTCCTCTCTCTAATTGATTGAACTGACTGTTTCATTGCCTAAACCTGTGCCTTGGATATTAAAGGCATTGATGAAAGTCTTAGCAAAGCAAATGGTTGCTATTGATGTTTGCCTTCCTTGTGAAGACACTTGCACAATAGAGTTTCTTATTTTAGGCTTTCCCCCTCTTTTGTGTGTAAAAAGTTCAGTTTTGTAATCTTTACAAATGGAGACGCTGACTTCTAGTCAACCCAGGTTTCCAGAATTCAACCTCCAGCGTAGCCACTGCAGTACTCTTCCTTGCGCTACATGAATGTAACATTACTACACTGCCTTGTAGTGCACACATGTAGGGAGACACCTACTTGTATGCATGAGTGCACACAACTTCCACAGATTCTCAAAAGAAGCTTTTGTTTAAAATTCAAGAGGTAACCTGAAGGCTGGATAACGAGTGCTTTGTGTGCCAAAGTGATCATTATAATGTATTGTTCAGTCAATAATCCACCTGACTTTGTGTGAGCCCACTTGTGTTAACTACAAACAACAGCTTACTGAGCGCAGCCGGTTCCACAGGAATCCACAGGACTGTTGTCAAGCTAGTGGTTGTTAATTTACTTCTTTGAAGGTAGTGCTCTGTATTTGAATGTGGCACAGAGGCTGCATATTTATAATTTTAAGTTTATTCTAAAGTAGTGTGAATGGTTATGCTGCAAGAATACAATAATTTATCAATTAGTTATTGCTTTATCACCAAATTAACCACTCAACGATCTTCTCAACGAGTTGTTATTGAAGATTGATCTCAAGATTGCCCATTATCTCTAAAGTACAGTATATCAATGGAAATTGAATTAAGAGGATGCTGTAATGATGTTGCTGATTAACATCTAGTAACATGTAAGTTTTCAACCTAAGAGGAGTGTGTGTGAACCATGTGTGAACAAGTCTTGGAGTAACATGATCAATACAGAGAGAAACAGAGACGGTGAGTATTCAAAATAGCTGTTTTCAGATTTCTCTATTAGTGCAGGATAAACAACCTAGATGCAGAATCTAAATAAACAGCTTTGCAGTCACTGATAGGTGTGTTATTGAACTTCACCTTCAAAAAGATGTTTCCCAAAATTAACAAATTCTTTGAGTTGCTTTAAAGTCAGATTTCCGCGCTGCATGATAATGTCAAATGTTTTTTAAATGTCTGCGTGGAAAATATTCCAGATATCTTTTAGCTTGATTTATTAAAGAAATCTTTGAATGTGATTTGCTTGACTGTACGAATTATATATGACACAGGTGTATCCACATTGAAAAAGTTGACCCATCAATATTATATTTTTTGTCTTTAAAAACATGTCGTGATTGAACATATATAAAATAAAATATATAGGTACAAACATGAAAAACTAACAGATTTTATGTTAATTCATGCATTTACTTCTTGCTTTACATATAGGTAAAAGAGGAGAATATAAGAAGCAATAAGCCTCAGTACCTTTTGACTTCCACTTCTATCAATATGAGAAATCCAGTTCACTGAATAATGGAGTGCCGTATATTGAACTTCATTCTTCCACTAGTGACTGAGAGCCATTTGCCGAATCTCTTGACTTCACACAGCACTCAGAGTGCTCAAAAGGGCGGTTTGTAGTATGTGTTTGTTTCCTTCCTCTTCAATGCAACAATATGTCTTTGTTCTTCCAGGTACATGGCTATTGTCCATCCTCTGAGGCCTCGCATGAAGTACCAAACCGCCTACGGCCTGATTACAGGAGTCTGGATCGTTCCCATTCTGATATCAATTCCCTCTGCCTACTTTGCATCTGAGATCATGTACCCTCATGGTGGCACCAGCAGCCCAACCACACACAAAGTCTTCTGTGCCCAGATCTGGCCTGTTGACCAGCAGGCCTACTACCGGTCATACTTCCTGTTCGTCTTTGCTGTGGAGTTTGTTGGGCCTGTGATCGTCATGGCAATGTGTTACACCCAAATTTCCCGCGAGCTCTGGTTCAAGAATGTGCCCGGTTTCCAGACTGAGCAGATTAGGAAGAGGTTGCGTTGTCGCCGCAAGACAGTGATGGTCCTGATCGGGATCTTGACGGCGTACATCCTGTGCTGGGCGCCGTACTATGGCTTCACCATCCTACGGGATTTCCACCCAACGCTCATCTCCCGCCAGAAGAACTCCCTGGTGGCCTTCTACATCATTGAGTGCATTGCCATGAGCAACAGTATAATCAACACTTTATGTTTTGTCACTGTCAAGAACAACACAGTTAAGTACCTGAAGAAGATTGTACTGATGCGCTGGAGGTCAACGTATGCCCCCAGTAAGAATGTGGATGAGATGGATATTAGGACCTCCTCCATGCCCGTAACAGAGGAGATTGAATGCATTCACTTGAGGTGAAGAGAGGGAAGTCTTTAACATAGCAGTCATTTAGATGTGGGCTGCATACAGAAACTACAATGTTGACAGGGATGATTTTGACATGGAACATTTCTCTCGTGTTCAGATCACATTTTAGAATGGTCAAAGTTACAGTATAGTACACTGATTAATGGGGCAACATGGCTCAAACTTTGTTAGCCAGCAGATCATACAGGACTTCCATTTGAGGTATTATGGGAATGTAATTGTTGTGCTCAGTGTTACTACACTGTGTTATTTTTAAATGTTGTAGCATGTGTACAATAGATATTACATGTAAGACTTGTAAATACAGATACTACTGCCCTTACCAACACGTTGTCATCCCAACTCGTCACATACTGACACTTTGTCGGACCCCTTGGCGCTACTTTTTATTTAAATTTAATTATTTAAATTTAATTTTAGGGTAACAGCGTACAGTCACAGAAAACAAGAAACAACAACGAAAACCACTTAGTAAGGTTTGGGAAAAACATAACTGAGCTTAAAATAAGTATGTAAACGAAGTACAATTTAAATACGTAACATAAATACATAAAACACATCACAAATTTATCTCAAAAATAACTCAACACTGATCTCAAACACCGGTCTGTGTATGTTTGACCCACTCACCCCCTATCAGACTGCATACTTCGTCATCACACATCCAGAGCATTTTCTCTGAGCGTCTAAAAAGGATGCAGATGGGTTGACATTGTAGTTACTTGAAAGACTGAAGCGTTAATACTAATGCTAAAGGGTGCCTTGTGCGTCGGTATCAGATGTCGAGGTGCGTGACAAAGCGTCAGTATTTAACGTTCTGGGAATGACAACTGGCTGATCCAAGATGATACATAAGTACCTGAAGTTTATCTTTAAAATGCCTGTATGTGTTTCCATTTATATTGATTGTAAGTTCAAAAAACACTTGTTACTAAAAAAATGCATTTATTTATTACTTAATTTGTCCTTATGTTTGCTTACTGTAATAAACAATGAGACAACTGAAAGGAAAGCTGCTTTTATTTATTGAGGTTTACTTTTATTTGCTTTTTTTCCATTATGAAAGTTGCCTTTAACATCCATGGACTCGCTCATTATCAGTTGTAAGTCTGCAAATGCGTAATACTACAGTAGACTATATATGTAGAAATATATCATTGGTGGCTGAAGAACAGCCTGGATTTTTATGCATTTTAACACTTCTTTGAAAATATGAACACAGACAGACTCTGTAAGATCCTTTAAGCATAAGTGCCGTTCCTGCACCTTTGGGAGGTACCTGGGATTCCCGGGTCCTTAGATTGACATTGTAGATTAATAATTTTCTTTAAGCACAGCGGATGATACAAAATGATTAAAAGTGTCACCTTTTTAAACATCAACACAAAGCCTCAGGTTTTGGTGTCATTCTCTCAGAATTAACATGCAAGGGCTTCTTTATAGATTTGATATGTGCACTGACACTCAACTATCTTTTTAATTTAAAATCCTGGAACCAAATAGACTAGCTCATGAATTTTACATATCAGTATGCTTCTGCCGCTAAATTAAAGTAGCAAAGTCATGCCCTCTTCTTTTTGTTATAAGACACTTTGGGAATATCTTATAAGAGTCACTTCCAAAATATATTAAACATCCAAGAAATTTTATACTTAAATGTTTTAAAAGTATCACAATGTGGATCTTTTATAATGCAGAGTTAGTTCATTTTTGAATAATTACTGGCATCTGAAAACATGACCATGTTTTAACTTCTGACAATAAATTCTAAGTCAAGATCCTGACTCATCCAGGTGGAGGATATTTACAAGAACTTCAACAAAAACTTATCTTCATGTCAAGAGACAGTAGTATATCTATATATATAGTAGTATTTGTTACCATATGTCCTTTGATTCTCTTTCGATACGGATTTGAAAAGGAAACCCCCCCCAAAAAAATATGGGAAAAGTGGAAGAAACCTCAGGAAGAGCAACTGAGAGACATGCAATAGATGCTGTGTAATTGACAAACAGCAAAATAACATTGAGGACAACCTGCAACCCTAATCTCTATAACCAGATTATGTGCTCACATGTAGAATCTGTAGGCAACGGGACAAGATTTTGGGATCGGAAGTGTTCTGGTTTCCGTCTGTAGTCAGATGACCAATCACGTTCGAGTTTTGGTTGAATGCAGGTAAACAGTTAGTGCGGAGAGCATAAGATGTTGAAAGGACAACATGCAGAGGGAGATAAGAGGAAAGGCTGAAGGTTAAGAAACAAATGGTAAATGCACTGTACTTGTATCGCGCTTTTTTTGTCTTTTCGACCACTCAAAGCGCTTTTACACTACATATCGTCATTCACTCATTCACACACTAATGGTCCATCCACCAGGACTAACTAACATTCACATTTACACACTGTAGGCACAGCTACGGGAGCTTTTTTGGGTTTAAGTGTCTTGCCCAAGGACACATCAACATGCGACTAGGGGAGCCGGGGATCGAACCGCCGATTCTTTGATTGAAGGATGACCCTGCTCTTCACTGAGCCACAATTGCCCAAACAAGAGAGGGAGAGAGAGAGAGAAAGATATAGGCACTCAGACGATTGACATCTATGTGTCGGCCAGTATTGGATTCGTGTTTTTGGCCCTCCCATTTACAAGCTGTGAACAATATTAAAAGTGGACCATATGTAGTGGGTAGGATTATTTGTTTTAAGATACAAAACAATGAGATATTGATCATATCAATACCATTAAAGTTGAAATCAATAGTGATTTACACTATAGCTTTTGATCATTTGAACTACAGTAAGCCCTGTTCTATATACAGTACTGCACTGCATTGTAGTGTTTATGAATTATACACAGCAATTTAATTTGAACAGTAATTTGAAAAGCATTTGAAACAGCTGTTAACAGTCATTAAATTCAGTAAAAAGTGAAGCTGTCTGTTTCATTTCTTTATACTTATGTAATGACTATACAAATGTCAATTCGATGTTCTGCATTAGAAATAAAGAAAAATCAAAAGAAAATGTTATAATAATCATCTGCTTGTAGTGATAATATTTGACCTGGGCATAAGTGATCACTATAAGAGGTTCATTGTTATTCATTGTATCATTGTTATTTTTCTTTTACCATTTTTTCTTACTGAATGTAAAGTAGTAGTCCTCGAATGTCTTCACAAATGTAATAATATTAATAATAATAACTTTATTTATACAGCACCTTTAAAAACAGAGTTCACAAAGTGCTTTGAAAGACAAAGCAGCAAGTAGTGGAGTCCTAAGGAAGCTACAATATTTCCCTATGTAAATCACTGAAGTAAATGTGATCACTTTAAGCAGCGCCATGAAGCTGGAAGTGGAAAATATACTTTCCTTCAATTATTGATGGCGAATACTGCATCAAGAGATTTCCATAATCTAAGGACTGGTGACCCGCTGACTGCGTATAACAGCTTTATGTAAATTCCCAGCAGTGGGCTAAAAAGGTCATTTACATTCAGATTCAGATTCACATACACCTTTTAACAAGCTGCTAACCATTTACCGTGAAGTAGGAACAGCAGCTGACCTTTTTTCCTCTCAACCTCATTCCACAGTGCATATCAGTCTTATTGCTGTGCATTTAGCTTAGCCATTCTTCTCCTGATTTGGTCAATAAGTTCTTGTTTAGAATGTCAACAATTTGGGAATATTGTCGCCTCTTATGCATATTTTCTTACAGCCTGTTGTCTGAAGCTGGGAAATGTTGTCATTATCAGGGTCCTTGCTTATTGTCTACATTAGTCTCTGTGATCTGGCCCCAGAGGGTGAAGTGTCAGTAAGCGTAGGTGTGTTTTTTTTCACTCCGTGTACCTTCATTTTCAAACACATATTTTGCTGTCAACAGACAGCTCGGCTTCTCAATGTTTGGCTCTAATGGGCTGTTTCTCAGTGAGTGTTTACACATCCCCATTTCTCCTCCAGGTTGTATTGTCCACTTGCTCACAAGCCATTTATACTTCACAGACATTTGAAAAATCATTACAGTTTTCTAACATTTCGCTTACCTGAAAAAAAGGAAACTACACAAGATGCTTGAGTACTAGCAAGTGCTATTGACAGAACTAATGCAAATATTTGAAGAACAGACAGTCCCCTGCAATAAAAGACCACTTTTGTGACAGTTCAATTCAAACAAAACATTGTATTCATAAAATGAGGATGTTTGACCATGAGTTTTTTAAGACCAATACAAATTTAGATCTGTTTTGGATTGAATTACTTTTTTTATGAAAAAATCATGAAAAAAACAAGTTTATGATTCTAATCATTTATTCTTTTACAATGGTCAAAATAAAATAAAAAGCACAAAATCTTCAAATGACGCAAGTTATTGAAGGTGTTGTTTCAAGTAATGTATTTGAAAGCCTCAGCTCATCAGTGAAAATTTAAAGAAATCCTTAATCTCAGCATTTGAGGGTTGAAATCTTTGTTATTCTGATTTGTATCTGACTCAATGGTTGCATGCTAACAATAACCATGCAGCGCTAACTGGGGTCATCGTGGCATCATGGGGTGGAATCTCTGAATGAAGAGTTAAGAATACAGGCTGGATATTGTAGCAACATTATTGAAATAAGTCAACACTTATGGGATGAAACTGTCCTTTTCTTTGACATCCTGTGATGACTCTTGTACATTTATGTTTTCCCGGAGCACCAGGGATTATGCAGCTCGCAAAAATCAATTTGCAGATGGATGGCCACCAGCCACGAAGAAGCACACGCAACTGGCAATGATTTCAGGATAGACATTTTATCCACCGCATGATGTATCCATAAACTCATAGGCTTTCCTCCATTCTTTATTAATTTCATCAGTGTAAACAGCAGGAATCTGGTCTGAATTCGACAGATCACAAAATGGTTTTCTCACCTGACGGTGTCCATTTGGTTGTTTCCTGAGCCCAATGTAACTGTGCCTCTTTTGTTTTGTCCACATCACAACCAGAGACATTGTATGCATGTTAAATGACAAATGAGGGGGGTGAACACGTTTGAGTCATCCCTCTTTGCGATCGTTCAGTCAGACACTGGATTCAACATTAATTATTATTTACAAACTCAAATTATTGTCACTCCATATAATTAAGACAAAATGTATAATTTCCGGCATGTTGAGGAGAGCCTTATGAATTTGAAAATGTCTAAATAGTAGCAAACATTTTGTAAAATTGATATCTCACTTTATGTAAAAAGGGTATATTACTGTCTCCTCCCACCAGGCGGTATACAGTCTGACCCTGTGTATAAGTGTGTGTGTGTGTGTGTGTGTGTGTGTGTGTGTGTGTGTGTGTTGTTCATCTGTGAGAGCAGTGATCTGTTTCTTCACCTGCCAGCCGACTCTCAGTTTGACCTGCCAAAAGGAGAAGATGGCTCAATCCAGAGAACTAAATATGACAATAAAATTATTTCTAACGTTTATTCTTTCCCTGTGCTTGGCTTGAACTCCACTAGACTTCATGTTAACCTATTCCTTACATAGAAATGTGTCTGAGGTGTAAAAAAAAAGGTTTTCCTTAAATGGTTGAGCAGTTTTACTGTCATCAGAAGCAGATTCAGCAGGATGACTCTGTCCAGGAAGCTACATTTGACTTTAACAAGAAGTTTGACTTTCTTCTCCTTCTTGCTGAATGTGCCTGGCTCATTCTGCTAAGGACCTCATATTAATCCATTCCTCAACACAGGGATCCTTCTTTTCCTTA